TATTATTATTATTATTATTATTATTATTATTATTATTATTATTATTATTATTTGCTGCAGCCTATGAGTGCAGCCTCAGCCCTTCTACCAAAGCTTTCCTAGTTCACACAGAGTGGGTTGGTAAATGGGCTAAAGTCGGAGGGCCATGTACCAGTATCCAAGCTTTCCCACTGGGGAGGGGTGAGGGGAAAATGTGATGAAGTAGCAGTGAAAGATGGTGACATGATAGCAACCTGTGCCTGGGTCTTTTGTCTGGCCCTGATAGTTGATTTTCCAGAGCAAACGTGCCAGAAGTCCACCTTTTAAAACAATGATGTCACGGGGGAGATAAACAGCTCCTGTGACCGTGAAAGAAAATGGCACAGTAATACTTGGATGAACAACAGAGTTGCTGGGTTGCAGAGCTGTGGATGGCTCATTTAGTATGTGTGTTGGCAGCCGGGAACTGCATGATGAAAAGGAGGCTGCAGCCGTGGCTTAGAAGAGAGAGAGACCTGCATGGTTGCTGAAAGCCGCAGCCAGAAGTTCCAGCAACAGCAGCAGCAGCAGCAGCAGCAGCAGCAGCAGAGAGAACAGAATGCTGCAGAAAAATCAAGGAAGGCAAGCTATGAAGGAGGGATGCCTGCAGGTGGAGGTGAGAGCAAGGTCATGAGATCTGCCACAAGGAGAGAAAGAGCTCTCTTAGGAGAATGGCTCCCATCGGGTCTCTGAAGACCAAGACAGAAAGATACCTAGGATTCACAAGCCTGCCATGTTCCCTGGGGGCCAAGAGATAACTTTTCTAAAAAGAGCTCATGGTCATCACCACTCTTACACCTGGTGGTGGCCTCTTGGCTCAGCATCTTACATTTGACTATACCGGGTATCAGAATCTGCTCATTTGCATATTAGCAGATCTATGAGTCAAGTGGTCACTTGTTTCCACAATAAAGAAACCCCAGAAGGCCCATCCTGGAGCAGAAATCTTCTGCATTGCTGCTCAAGCAAGGTCAAACTGCCCCACTCGCGCTGATTTGTTTAGAGGAAAGCAGGCTGTGGTTTCTCTGAAAGCCAGCACTCGGATGTGCTTGTAAATTGTGTGGGGATAGAAAGATGGTTAAAGGGCTTGCTCTGCATACCTAACTAAATGCCTACCAAGTGTACCGAGACTGGCCAGTGCTTCTAGTCTCAGAAAGCAGAGAAAGGGTTTTCCCCAGAGCAAGCTAGCCAGCAGAATTAGCCATGTCATTGAGCTCAGGGTTTGGTTGAGGTAGAGGAGCAAAATGAGGATGATTCCTGACCTCCGGCTTCCACAAGATATGCACACTCGTACACATGCGCACGCACACATGCGCACATGCATGTAAATAGTGGGAAAACTAAACAGCACGAGAAAGGACTAGTACAGAAATTGTCATGTACACATGTCCTGAGGTGGCAGCGGTTAGGAATAGCGTTTCTGCAATTAATGTCCTTAAGAACGCCCTTTTACTCCAAAGCGCATTCTCAGAAATGTTAACGCATGCGCAGTGTTTGTAACACGCATATGAGAATATGTAAAGACAAATGTTAGAATTCAGGGTTGTTTTCTCAAGTGTTCATTGTCTGGAGAACACTCCCCTGGTGTGCTGCTGACATCACTGATCACTCCTCTCGGGTCTTCTCCCCTAACTTTAAACTTTGATCTCTTTCTCCCTGTGTCTATGCCCGATGTGTCTCATCTACCCTATTGGCTTCAAATGCCAGCGTTACACCTTTAACATACAAGTTCACTCCTCCAGTCCAAACCCTTCATCTGTGCCTTCAACTGCCTGCTTACCTGACCTCTATTTGCATGTCTCTGCCGCCAAATCCTCACCTGAACGCACCTGTCCCCGCTTCGATAAGCTCCCTTTTGTCTCTTTAGGGTCTGTCTTTCCCTAAAACTCACATTGAGCTGTCAGCAATTCTTACTGGGTTTCTATTTTCAGCTGTGCAGAGTCTAACTGTATCTCACAGCCCTGTGCCATCACCTTGGCCCTTCGCCTTGCTAGATGGCTGCCCTATCCTTCTTATTCCTCTTCTTGCTTCTGCTCTGGCCCGGTTAGCATCTTCCCAAGTCAGCATCCAGAGAGAGTCTACAGAAACTTCTCCAGTACCTTCCAGTTTCCAGACAGAAAGCTGAAGTTTTAGCAGTGGTGCGGGCAACGTGCCCCACCCCCCCACCTCTCTCACCACCCCTCCCCGCACTTCTCCCTGCCTGTTCCTGAAGCGCACCTGCGCGCTCCTGATATATTTAGCTTTACATTTACACCTTCCAGAATGCGCTTCCCAGGTTTCCATGTGGCCTTTCCCAAATGGCACCTTCTCCTCCTACCTTTTCCTGACCACGTTAATTAAAATTATGACTGATAGACTATTTTAGGAATCTCTCATTTGCATCTTGTCTCAATAGTTTCAATTATGATAGAAAAAAGGCAGCCACTACCAAGACAGAGAACAATGGACTTGCAGTTGAGTGCAAGCTATGTCAGCTGCCAGCAGATGACCTTGGAATTTTGGTTTTTGAGCTTTCTTTCCTCATAGCCATGGTAAGAACAATGTCCTACCTGCTATTATGAGATTATGTATATTATAAATAACTTAAGGCATGCATTTAATACAAAATATAAATTACCTGGGCCCCCTTTCCTTCTTCTGAAGAGTGAACGTAAGATGTCTTTGTGGACAAGGGGAGGGGACCCTTGTTAGTCACAAGAAACTTACCTTTCAGACCACAGAGTCCACACATGGCTGCGAACACCGTCGATTCCATTTCGATGTTCCTGACTCCAGCTTTGTACGCTCTCTTCAAGTAGTCTAGCTTTTTTTCTCTTGAAAAGGAACACAATGCTCCATCGAGGCGACCTTGGCCTGAAAGAGGATGGAGTGATTTAGTGGCCAACGTCTCACCTCGGCGGCAGTCGCTCTGCACCTGTCCCTGCATCTTGCGTGAGCCTCCTCCGAAGAACTCACTTGGCTGCAGACTCTTTCCGCCAAAGGGCTAAAGACAGTAGCCGTACCTGGCTAAAATTGCACACACAGGGCAGAGGGTATGTACAGGGCTGTCCCGGTTCTGAAGGGCAATGGAGACATCAGGAACGGGGTGAAGGGTCTACTGAGAAAGTTGTCTTTGGAGGAGGACCTTAAGCTGCCCCAGTGACAGGGGGACAAGCCAGGTGGAGACACTGGAGGAAAAGAGGTTTCATACCTCAATGATACTCCTGAGGTAAAGGGTTTGGACACTGCTTCTCTCCATATGACCACCATGGCCAGACATAGGCAACAGGTATGTCCTTGGTTCTCCACACACCTCTCCAGCTTCATGCTATCCCTTCACTCTAATTTTCATGTTCAGATTGTTCCTATGATTTCCGGCTTGCTTAATTTCACCAGGTTGACAGTGGAGGACACTCTGATGTTACCCCTTCACCATGAGGGCATTCCAACCTTTTCTACCCAGCAATGCCCAGATGGAAGCTGGTTGCCATTACTTAAACAGTCTTCCCGAAGTCCTTCAGCCCTTCCTCGCCTTTGCCCCTGTTCTCCGTGGCTTCCATCCTGGCAGTCAGGTTGTCCTTCTTCCTTCTCTTCTCTTCAGTGTTGCCTGTCAACACTTCTGTGTTATTTAGGCTGAGTCAAACCCAGATGGCCCAGTAGCCATAGGTAATGTGATGGCAAGGGTCTGCCTGGGCATATAGGAGTTGCCTCACTTCACCCACAGTATAAGCAGCCCCCAGATGTGAGCCAGAGCTTTCCAGGGCTGTCACATATATATTATTCTGTACTTTTTTCATGCTACTTTATGTAATAACAGAAATCCAGAAATCTGGATTTTCACATGGAAAGCTCTAGAAATTACAAATGTTGGCAAAGTGCTTCACATTTGAAAGGGTAGCTCACAGGCCAATGGAAACACTGACTCCACCGGGTTCTGCTAATGAGCTGTGACTTAAACGCCTGCGTGGGTGATCCCCTAATGGAAAGGCCTAACAACCAATGTTCTAGAATGGTCTCAACCTGTCCATCTACCACCCTGCTTGTTATATAAATACCTGGACAAACAGAATACGACCTATCTCCTTTTAAAGTAACAGGTAAACTTTAATCTAGAGAAAGGTAAAAGAAGTTGGTAATGAAATCTCAAGATTAACTATGATTGTCATATGAACAATAACTACAGCACAAGATTGCTGAAAGCCCAGCATGCAATGGTATCAAGGCAACGTAGACACATCTAATGAGCAGAGTCTATCTTTGGAGGTTACCTTGTTTTGTTTTCTTTTTGCCTTGCCCCTCTTCTCTCACCTCAAGAGCTGCTGTTTGGCAGTGACCTTCAATTTAGCTCTAAACTCGGTATGGAGACCACTGACTCTTGGCTGTGGGACAAAAGCCCCTCTCTAAGACCACGGCATCCCCAAAGGATCTGTCTAATTAAGCATTTCTCTCTGCTTCCTGGTCTTTCTTGCCTGGGGCTCAGGGGAATGACAAAAGCATAGAGGCAGCATATTCCTCTTTCTTAAAGTCAGCAATCTAAGTAAAAGTCATGAGCAGAGAGAAGATGCTGTCAATATCACTAATTGCATTTTAGTATTCAAATTGATATAGGATTAAACCCATTCTCAATATAAACTCATTCTGCATGTTCCTCGGATGCTTATTAAGCCCTTATGTTGTTATGCTTTAGTAAGTAAAAAGCCTATTTGCTTTCCCCTTGCAAATCCACACTATTAATTTGCTAGTGTGCAGTTTTAATATAAGTTGTGGGCTTGTATAACAAGCTGCTGGTGTTTTCATACCTCCTTCATGGCGGGTAGATGATTCTCACCTTCATAAAAATCATAGGTACACATCGTGTGGCCGATGAGGGTTGGAAAATTGGGGATTTCTCTGCTACAGTTGAACAAATCGTTAGCCAGTTCCTTGTCAAGTTCAGTGCTTCGGGTGACCACGTTGTCCAAGATGACCTGCTCAAACCGAGGCTTGAAGAAGGAGTCTACAGCTGTATCTGTTATTACCACAGACCCTGGGGCAATGCCTGCCAGATGGAATAAGTAAGAGATCCCAAAAGATTGCTTCAAGTTGATGTAGTGTGGCACCTATTCCATCAACAGTAATTAATGCTGTTTGTTAATGATTTCCCTGTTTTCATCTATAAAAATATTTTTTTTTCCCTAAGTGCAACCAAATAACCTTTAGAACAGGCATTTTCATTGGCTGTCTTTCCAGATCTGCATTTACAATGTGGTGAGGTTTAGATTGCAAGACAAACATGACTCTTGGACATGCAAATTAGTGTCAGCCTTCAGGCTCAAATTTGAATAAATTAGGTCAGGAATAAAGTAAACGAGCCTGCCAGCAAGTAGCTTTTATAAAGTGATGTGACTACTTGATATTTAATCTTCCTACAAACTCCTCGATTACTATAATTTCTTGGCAGCTTTCCTCCCTCTTCCTTCAGATTCTTATCACACACCCTTCCTTTTTTCCCCGGACTCCATGCAAATTAGGCATCTTGGCTGACCTTCCCTTGCTGTAAAGCTTGGCTTGCTCAAGGGGCCTGGGCCCACTAAGATGCCATTTTCTGCCACTCTTACTCTCCCTGCCTGAGTGTGTGCTTGTCCTCCCAACTCCCTTTCATCACAATAATGTCAGCTCTCCTCAGGTGTCAGCTGGAGTCACTCCCTTCCAAAAGTCTGAGCCATGGAAGGAGAACCAAAGAAATGAGCATAAATAAGTAAAAGGTAACACAGATGAGTTACAGTGGGGCCTTCTGGGACTCACCTTTTGATCTAGCCTGATTTCTACTGACAGCCCACATAAGAAGATATATCTAGATGGTACCCTGGACAGTCTCTCTCCTAACACTCATCACACTTATTCTCTTTCTTTTTTTTTTTTATTTTATTTTTCTTATTAGTTACATTTTGTTAACTCTGTGTCCCAGCTGTATCCCGCTCTCTCATTCCCTCACCCCACACTCCCTCCCTGGTCTCCTCCCTGCCCCTTTCCAAGTCCACTGAGAGGGGAGGACCTCCTTCCCCTTCATTTGACCCTGTTTTATCAGGTATCTTCCTGGGTGGCTGTACACTTATTTTCTAACTGTCTTTTGTTTGTCTACCTCTCTGATGGAACCCAAGCTATATAAAGGTAAGAACAGCGTCACTTCACTGCTTTCCCCAGGTCTGAGGCTTCACCCATCACATCAGAAGAATTCAACAGAAATCTGGCCAGTGAGTACATGCTTCTGTCAAGATACCACAGAACACAGGTCTGCAAACTCTGGTCCACAGGCCACAGGCCACCTGCCTTAGTGAATAAAGCTTTTTGCTGCAACATGATTACGCGTTGGTTTATGAACTGCCCTTGCTGTATCTGAGCTGTGATGGGGCACTAAGAAGCAGCAACAGAAAGTGCACCGTTTGCAAAGCGCCGAACTTCTATTACCTGGCACTTTACAGGATAAAAATTTAACAACCCTGGCTAGGGAGTGCAGACGTCATGGGTTAATACACAGTCCAATAGACCAAATTAGAGTTAATTACAGAACACTTTAAATTTCTAGAGATTGAAGGTGGCTGTCCTAGTTTAATTTCTGTTGTTGTGATAAAACACCCTGACAAAAGCAGGGAGACCAGGTTGATGTGGTTTACAATTCCAGCTCACAGTCCACCACTATGGGGAAGTTAAGGCGGGAACTAGAAGTAGCCAGTCTCATCTACAGTCAAGAGCAGAGAAAAAAAAAATTGCACATGTACCTCCTCGTTTCTTGGGCTCAACTGCATTTCCTTACTCTTACACAAGTCAGGGCCCCCTGCCTACATCAGTGAATTTAATTATGAAATCGCCACACCCACAGGCTGATCCAAGGTAGGTAATCTCTCCCCGAGACCCTTCCCAGGGGATGCTAGGTTGTGTCAAGTCGACAGTTGAAGCTACCCATCACAATAGCCTCTGAAGATACATCTCTGCTTGGTCAGAAGCAAGAGGCTACTTGCCTTTTTCAGAGTACCCTAAGACATTGAGAAGGAAGTTGAAGATGTGTTTTCCTCATGCTGTCCTAACGTGTAGAAGTTGTGCTCAACTGGGTTTCCCTACCCTTACACAATTCAGCTGCCTAAAGAATGGTCATGCCCACATCAATGAATTCAATTAAGACAAGTTCCAAACAGATGTACCCATACATAAACCCTTAACATCGAAGCAGTTATAACATAGTTTCTCTAAGACAAAAGTGCTTTTTAACTGTGTACCTTTCCCTTATCAAGGTATTTGCTCAGTTAAGGAATGATCATGTCAGCAAGAAAATAAGTAACAGCTGTATTTTCCATCTTCAAATATAGTGTTGCTTCAAACAAAAAGCCATGAGCCTGTCTTAGTTATAGCATTCATAATGAAGAGGCAGCTCTGAAATGAAGCTGTTTGCACCAGTACAATAGTATAGTTTTGCGCCATTTACAGGCCTCTATCATGTTGTTACTCTCTTGTTGTAGTCTATACTGTGTTATCATGACACACAAGACCATGACCATGATTTGGATGGTCATTAGAGTGACTTGCTGGAGACTCATTCATATCCTGTGACAACCGCAGCAGTCAGGAGGACAGAACGTGTAGCTGTGAGCTCAGAAGGCAGATCACGGTATCCCACAAACCAAGAATTACAAGCAGCCTTAATAACATTGTCCATGTCTTTACCAGGCACATTGTTCCCTGAAACTGATTATTTGGGATGTTGTTGGATAAACTACCCCATGTCCAACACCTCATCCTCCTTCCCATTTGGAAGAACACCCACAGTGGGTTTTTGTTGTTTGTTGGGTTTTTGTTTGTTTGTTTTTGTCTACATATGAAGGGCTTTGTATGGCTTTGTTCTTGGAATATAGCTTCAGACAGGCTGTGGTCCTTTTTAACTTGCCTGATCTTACTCAGAGCCATCCATCTGGGAACCATGCCACTTCTCTAGTACTTTGAGGAATTTTTTTTTTGTTGAGATCACCTCTTGCTCCAAAATGCTTATGAGCAATTCTAGAGGATATGTCTTTTTAAAAGCTCACCCCCTTTTAAGTAACCCTGTAGTCCTGTCACTCTGTGGAAACCAACCATTTCCATTTATAACAGTGATGTGCATTTCCATGCGACAAGATTACCCTGACAAGAGCTGCTCCTTAAGAGACAATTGAAGGGAGGCAAGGAGGATGAAGTTAGGTAGCCATTGGACTTTTCCTAAAAGAAAGCCCACATGGTCCTTTTTGTTAGGTAGCTGAGAAAAGACACAGCCAAGGAAAGAGCTAAAACCACTGAGATGAGCCAAAAAACAATATTTTGCTAGCAACTATAAGGACTGATACTTAGTAGATAAAACAAGCAAATGCTTGAAATTCTCTGAACACCCTCATTCCTGTCACATACAGTTTCCCAGGATCAAGTCTACTCTTCCCATGTGCTGAGTAGGGTTTGTCAACTGGATTCAAACTAAAGTCACCTGGAAAGAGGGAACCTTGAATGAGGAACTGCATAAGAACAGCCTAGCAGCATTCCTCCGCCTCTGCTTCAGGTCCTGCCTCCTGGTTCCTGCCTTATGTTCTTCCCTTGCCTTTCCTCGATAATTGGCTGTGAGCTATTAGTCTTTTAAGCCCTGTTCTGCCCATGTTAATTTTGGTCAGGGTCTTTTGACAAAACAAAACAAAAAACAAGAGAAAAACTAGAACACACCATAAAATCATACTTTCTAATAAATCAACGTTTTTGTTTAAACATCTTTGAACAACAGTGGAATCTCTGTCTCTCTCTCTCTGTCACACACACACACACACACACACACACACACGGAGGGGGGTGCGGATTTAAGCCTCCCCTTACTTTGCAGCCTGTGTGTGTTTCTGTTGGGCTCTAAGTATGCTGGCGCGCTTTGAATTAACACAGGGATATACGAAGGATCACTCAGCCGTAATGCTAGAAATCAATCCGTCTCACCAATGCCCCCTGACGTTCCAATCCTGATGATGGTAACGTCACAGCAGCGTGCGTGGTGGAGTAGTTTGATGAGTTCGTGGAGCATAATGGAAATGGAGGGGATGCCCATCCCGTGCTGTTGGGAGAGAGAGGAGAGTCGTTATATATCTCATACACGCGTAAGTGAGCAGGACGCATTTTTTTTTCTCCCTTACAAGTTAACAGCCCATGTATAAATTTGCATAATCATTAAGACTGTGCCAGTGCTGGGGAAAGCACAAGCCATCTCTAAGTGATGCCTACATGGCATGCTGATGGATGTGCCCATCTGCGAGGACTAGAGAGAGGCATCCTACTGCCAGCTAAACCGGTGGGATGGCAGAAAGTGCCAGGGCATCGTCAGTTCTCATTGCACTGTGGGGTTCTTTCCAGTGAACTTATGTGAAGAGGGTCACTCCCCCATATATAACTGACATGAAACTGAGGATAATTTTGGCTGCCATTTCAGCATTCTTACTTCACCCTAGTGAGAAAATTAGTAAACCAATTTTATTGTTCAAATGTAGCTTTGATCACTTGCTGTTAAAGCCATGTGAGTTTAGAATGACTCTAAGAAAGAAATGTGGCTTCAATTCCCACTCGAGAGTTTGAAACTTATGCTGAACATATGAATAAGTTTAGATGGTCATGGAGCATGGCCACAGTCTTGTGTAATTCAGCGTTTATGTCAAAACAATCACAGTCACTGGGCTAGGGGTCAGAAAAGACAAGCTAAAGGATTTAGTCATTTCTGGTGGTTCTGTCACATCTAACAAATCTTGGGAAATATCTCCCATGCTGTGCCTTGAGCTTTATTGGTGGCTACTTTACTTCTACCATGGCGGCAAAGCCTGTGTACTGATCCGTGCCACAGAGACTTTGGAACACCACTAGATCTGTTGCCCTGATGCTCTCAAACAGAGCTCCTTCTCCTTCCCATCACCAAGACTATTGAAAACTGTGGGCATTGGGGTCACCAGTTTTTGCTCTCATCCAATACACCCTGATTTTTTAAAGCTTCATGAGCCTTCTGGATCCAGGAGTCAAGTCTGTATTGATGTGTGTGGCCTTGGCGCACTCTACAAATGAATGAACAAACTACCATTTGCTTCAACTGTTAATTAGAGGATGGGTTACTATTTCACCAGTTTCCTTCAAAGTCAGCCATTTGTTAATGTTAGGATCAGCACTTAGTTCTCAATATGATGATAAAACTGCAAATAGTCTAAGTGGCTAGCCTTGACCATTTAGCTCACGTTCCTTGACAGGACAGCAGGATCACCTCTGGCTTCGTCTTATGATGAAGCCTTTCATTACATTTCACTTTTGGGGTAAGTGCTACTTTTTTTCTTTCTCCATTTGCTGTACAAAATAGAACAAATAAGTATAGTTTGAAGGATTTTAACTGAAAAGTTAATAGAACAACATCAGGGGACAGTTAGCTTCTAATGTAGATAGTCTATGATTTTTTTTTATTATTGAACGAACAAATTAATAATGAATGACAGGTTTCAGGCACTCTTGGCCTAGAAGGGAGATGAATTTCACTGCCTCAATGGTACTACCTATTTTCTTTTCTTACCCCATGTTCCCAGCTCCCATCACATTCCACCACTGAGGAATCTGAGTGATTTGAGGGGTCAAATGTCCCCTAATACAGAGGGCATTTACAACTGAGCTCTTCAGAATTGTCACATCTAGGCAGGTCTTACTTCTTATCCCCTGCTTATGCCCCTTGAGAGGACTACCAAATCCAAATACATGCTGGACTTGGATTTTTTGCTTCAGAAGACAGCCATGAGCAGAGGGCTGAGCTGGGCAGAGTTGGGTGGCTGTGTACAGACACCCTCCTAAGCCCTTGTTGCTAGTGGGAACTGCTCAGAGACTCATTCTGCTTCCATTTCATCTTTACACAGACTGCGTCCAGGAAAGCCTTCAGATTCTAATTGAGGAGAGCACGTCACAGGGGCTCTGTGGAAATGCACTTGCTGCTTTTCAGGAAGTTCATTCGTATTAAATTCTAACAATCCTGAGAACTGGCCTCTATGATAGCTCAATGTTCCTAAAGCTGAATAAAGGACGAAGGAAAGGAAACGGCTGGGGAAAGGAGCATGTCAGTCAGTTAGAAGAGGGAAGAGCCTTGGAGACTTTTGCCCTTACCTCCAATAGTTAAACAGTGAGTTTAAGGGCAGGGAGTGGCCCTGCATGCTTTGGCCTGCCCTGAAAACTTTTTCTAGAGGTTGTGTCAACCTCTTCACTCACATTCCTTGTGTAGGCGGGCAAGGCAGAGTGGGGAGAGAACTGTGTTCGGATGGCCCCAGTTTGGTGTGTCCATCCTGCAAAGGCTAGCCGGCCCCCGGCCATCCTGAACTTACACTGATGGAGAGTACAGGGCCTGTTTTGAACATGCAATATCGGTCTGTTCCCGCACAGATGTCTTCAATGTCTTCTCCATCTCCCTCCAGCCCGAGTTCCTTGTGCATAAACAGTGCAAACGCTTTCATTCTGTTGGGGCTCCCACCCACGCAGACAAACTGTCAATAAAAACAAACAGGTGACTACAACTGTCCACACGATAAGAGCTCGGGTCAGCAGTCAGTCAACGGCGCTGTTCTGTAGCACTTCTGACTGTGTAGGTGTCCTGGATGGTGTTCAAAATTTTGCTCATTTACACCATTAACCTGGAAGAAGATGACTAGGTGCCATGAGTTATGCACTAAATTAGTGAAGAAAAGTGTTGACATTGTTCAAGGAGATATTTCTTGGTGGTTTTATTTAAAACTTTCCTGTGATAACTTTAAGCTTTAAAGGACTTAGCTTGGGACCTTTCTGCTCTTCACTGAGGAAAACGAAATCACCATGGAACAAAGGTTGTTACTCTAAGTTCAGAATCTGACTGCAGTATTTCACCTATCCCACTAATTTGTTTTAGTATTTATCTTTTTCTCTGACTTTAGGGCAGATATTGCAGTCAAAGGTTGTTATGTCTAATCAAATATGGCGAGAAATGGTAGTTAAGCATGCCTACTGCCAATTATCATCATACATGCCTTCAACAGCATTCTGAGGTAGAGACGGGGGATTGTGAGTTTCCGAGAAGCCTGGACTACATAGTGAATTTGATGTGGGACGAGACTGCATAGTGAGACTCTGATTCAAAGGAAAAATCATGATTGCTTGTGTCACAACATGTTAGGAATACATAAACCCCAAGGATGGGAGGATATGCCAGAGAGAGGGGAGCCGAGTGGCCTGTTGCTGGTCTACCTGAGAAGGCATCCAGGGAGCCACCAAGCAGGGGTCAGGGACAGAGGATGAGCAAACATTCTAAAGGCCAGGACGAAGCAGAGTATGCAGGGGGTCGTCAGGCAGAAAGCCACTCAGAAACAAAAGCCACACAGAGCGGTGTCGAGTTGTGTAAGAGATGTGGTATATGTAGTGTAGGAGGTTTGGGATGGTATCTGTGGTGTGGTGTATGTGGGATAGCGTATGTGATGTGGTGTATGTGGCGTGTTATATGTGGTGTGATGTATGTGGTATATACTCTGTGACGCATGCGTTGAAAGCCCAGAAAGCAGAAGCCGAGGACTGCTGGGCAGCTGCCCTTTGAATGCAGGCATATTTGGCTTTGAGCGCTAGCTTATCACTGATCAAGTAACTTGTTCGGCAATACACACAACCTTTATACTCCTCAGACCACCATCTCCGGTGCTCTCAGGTTCAGTTAGAATGAAGTGGGATGGACTATGGCAAAAGAGCAGACGTGGAGCCTGGCAGCTTCTCAGCGTCCATAAACCCGAACTTCTACTGTCACATAACTCCCCCGTGGTCTGCATCTTGAGCTCACATCTCTCCACTGCAGAATTCAGTAAAAGTGAAGCTGACTTGAGTTTTCCGGGAGGGAAAAAGACAGTAGTGGTGCCTGGCTGATGTGTGCTGCAGGAAGCAGAGGATCCGAGGAAGGCTAGCAATGACCTTTGCAGGGCTGTCACGCAAAGGATCACCAGAAGCATTGGGTGGTTCGGCCCCCTGATTCGTCCTGTTTTCGTTTAACAATAGTTCCTGGGCAGCATGACTGTATAATCATCTCCAATCATAGGGCACAATTTTTCTTCTGGTCTGGGCACTCTGCTTCTCATCCCCTCACTGCTGTCTTCTCTGGAATGTCCTGGGGGATTTCCTAACAGGGCCTTAAGGTAGTAATGAACAATGAGAGGCAACCACGAAGGCTAGGGACAAGAGGGCAAGGCGGGCCATTGTTTAAGGTGAGCTGCAGTTACTATGGATCACTCATGAACTTTGCTCCTCTCTTGCTATAAGTAGCTACACACGTTCTTCTTATGGATAGGTCAAGGTCTAAATACAAGGAATCACCTTTTTATACACAAAACACAGTAGTTTGAAAAATAACCTCAGTGTGTGGTGCCACTGCAACTAAATTACAATCATTCAGGTTGACCGTAGAACCGAAACAGATGTTAGCCTGGTTTGCGGTTTGTGTTCCACTTTGAACGGTAGACATTGAAGTAATCAGCAGGAATGCCTGCAGATTTCCGGAGACACGCAGACGACATGCGTGGCCAGAAGCAGCTGAGTTCCTGACGCTTACTCTAAAATCAGACTCACTAAGCATCACCTGCAGACACCACGGCCAGCCTGCTTTAATAAGCAGCAAAACACGGCTGAAGACCACCAGCCAACGCTGGCCTCCAGCGGCACTGACTGTTATTTACGTTCCAAACAAAATGATCTTTTATCAAAGAAGGCAGAAATGCATGGGGCAGGAAAAAGAAGCATTATAAAAATATGTTCAGGATTTCGCCTAATGACTTCCAGAACAAACTCACTTTCAAACATCCCCAGTAGCTTAAAAGATTTTGCCATGTTGCATTAATTTACAACATAAATGCAGTTTATGAATTTTGTGTAGCAAGGACAATTTAAGTGCATATTATGAAGTCTTATGAAGCAATGATCTTCCATGTTACTTAAAATTCTGAATACACTATGCATTCCAGAAACATGGCCCAGAGCCTCCTGAGCTGGAATTGATCTGAACGCCCCTGAAGATGAGCTTTCATGGCACTAGAAGGCACCATGCAAGCTTCTAAAAGAGGGATGCAACCAACAGTCAGTCCTCTGTAGCTGTCATGCCTATGAAACACATTAATAACCAGAATGGCGTGGTAACCCGAAGGGTGCAATAATGGCACACATGCACTGGTAGTGACCAACACCTCTTTAATTGGACTTCAGACCCACTCAACAACAGTGAAAGCATTCGTGGTACCTAGCTAACTACTCAGAGCTAAGCAAGCCATGGTTATTGGAGGAGAATCTACAACCACTAATTTACTAAACCAGCACAGTCCCTAACAGCACTCTATAGACATTTTTGTCCCTAAAGCCACAGGTAGATGTGATCTTTACCACCTCCTGCACCCCATCAAGAAAACTTTTTGCAACAGACTGAGACCTTTACAGGAAACCACAAAAGGCAGAGTTGTGAAGGCCAGTCTCAGTGGATCTCATCTACAACGCATAAGGCTCAGGGAACATTGTGGAAGAGGAAGGGGAAGACAGTAAGAGCCAGAGGACCAGGGAGTTTGTTGGAAGACTGTGTTTCCTAGCAACATCAGAAGCTGCACTAATAACATCTCAACAACACAACTGCCCAAGTGTGAGCTGAATAAGAATAGCACCAACGGGCATGCAAAACTGGATGGAGAAAGCCCATGAGGCTTCAGTCCTATGCTAAATAGTCAGTCCTGAAAATATATGAACAAAAAGCAACTTTGTATGGAGTGAACCAGATAGCATTTAGGATAGATATGTATATGCATATATTCATGCAATAGCAGTTAGTGAAAAAAGATGCCATGAATTTGAAGAGGTGTGGGGAGGGGTATTTGAGAGGATTTGGAGAGAAAATAATTAAGGGGGAAGTGTAATTGTATTATGATCTCAAAAATGAAAAAACATTTAAATAATTGCTTAGATGAATTGGACTGTACCAGTTAGTGATTTTATGAAAGAAATCTGTGAAGACATGACACAATATATATTTGCATGTTGAATTTGAAAAACATCTTTCCAGCACCTCTATCACATTTTTCAATTGTTTTCATCTCCAGTGAGTATGGCAGAAACTAATGAGTTACATGCCGAGACTATTTCCTCTTCTGTCTGGGTTCACAGCTAATTCTAACTTCCCAGGTTCCTTTCCAAGTAGACAAGGCCATAATGCCTGAGTTCCAGCCACTAGACTATGAGCAAAAAGTAATGTGTTCCATTTCTAGCCTAGTTCACAGACAAACCCCCCACGCCCATCCCACAAGGAAGACATATTGTACATTACTTCTGCCATCTGCCAGGTGGAGGTCGACACTCAGGGAGATTTCCAGCCACAAATTGAAGGTTTCAAAGCAGCGAGATATAAGAGAACCAGGTCTCTGGGCCTCGCCTCTACCTGACCAGCCATCAGCCAGGCACAACTGCTTTATGTGTGTTAAGATCGAAAGGTTAGCCTACATTGTACTAAGCCACTGAAACTACGTAGTACCAAGTGGGAAAAATCCTTCAAAATAGAGGAAAGATACAAAGGAATAAGGCTAACTATCGGAATCAGCCAGATTTGTTTTTCTGTCTGTTTGTGTGTTTGTTTAAGACAGGATCCCTTGTACCCTTGGCTGGTCTTGGACTCACTATGAGGAGAAAGCCATGTGGCATGAGAAAGACACTCATGCCTACGTCTCCCATACGCTGTGATTGCAAGCACGCACCACCATACCTGGCTCAGGTCTAAACTGTATATCCCACCGTCTTCTCTCCCTTTGAAGGTAGTATTGATAATAATTATCGCCATCTTTTGTGGAGTAAGGTTGCATTTTTAGGCATTGGTGAGTTATGTCCCAGCTTTGTAGCCAGGATTGTTGACCTGAGACTTAACGGAGCCACGAAACCAGATCTACAATGTTCTCACTCTGAGATAAGAGAGTGCTGGATGAAGATACATTTCTGAAGACAAAATCTATTACAGCCAATTTGTATCTTCTGTTCCCAACATCCTGTTTCTGTTCTGATTATAATTCTGTTTGGATCCTAAATCTAAACACATTTTTGCATCCTACCCATCAAAATGGGGCTGTGGTTGGGGTTGCTCTCAGGGACAAAACTATTTGAAATGGAGGATGTCTGTCATTCAAGTGACTGTACTGGCGGGGGACAGTGGTTCTGAGATTGGATGGCGGCTCTGAGAAACAGTGTGGCAGAAGCACTGACAGGAATCCAGTCAGGGAGAGAAGTGGAAACATGAAGCTCCAATTTCTGGTCTAACAGAGATGAGACGATATGCACTCGTGTGTGTGTGTGTGTGTGTGTGTGTGTGTGTGTGTGTACACATGTGTGATTCTCATCTCCAAAACAAAGCTATCCATTCTGAGATTTACCAATAACGAGAAGAGTAACAAATGTAGTGTTAAAAATAAAAAGAACCAGCAACTGTTTCATCAGGGAAACCTAGGACTTAAGCTCAGCTCTTTCACTTACTGGCTGTGTTGTGCCTCTTACAGATACATAAATGTAGCAGGTGTGTTTTAACGATGCATATCCACTGAGCCCTAGTTTCTCCCTCTGTATAGGAAAGATACTATCTAGTTTCTAATGTAACCCAAGCCAGACTTTAACTCCTGACCTTCCTGCCTACGCCTCCCATGTTCTTTGACTACACAGCCATGTAGGCAGAAGAAAGGAAGGAAGAAGCCCTGCGCGGTGGGGACTGGGCAGGCTCAGATACAAAGAAGGCAGCCCATGAATGGTAGAGGGGAGACAGACACTTAGACATACAGATAAAAGGCTGCTCTGTATCAAAGCATCTCCCATCTCCGTCTTCTTAATGTACTAAATCTAGTGTACCTTCATTTGTTGATTACGGCAATCCTATTCCAAACAGTCATCCTTAGAAAAAGGTCTCGGGGAAATCACTGTGAGGCAAGCACCTCACACCTAACATTTCAATTCAGGTTCAATCCAGTTAATGAGTACCGAAGTTGACTTGATCAAGATTCTTGGAGCCTAAATATAAGACTCAGTATGAGACAGGGGTTATACTCAAAAGATGAAGAGGAAAAGAAAGGTAAGCTGCACAAAGGCTGGAAGCTGCAGTCTGGAGAGGAATAGGGACACAGGCTGTGCTGCTGCCTGGAAACCCACCCACACTCACATTTGCTCCTTCAGAGGAGGAGGGAGGAGGCAGCTGAGCACAGACTGACAATGGGCATCCTAGATGTACTTGCTTACTTACTTCCCTTCCTCCACCTTCCTTTCTTCTTCTACCTACACTCATCCTCCTCAACCACCTTCTTCACATGCCTCCTCATTTAATTTTTGGAGATTTCTGCCTTACTGTAATTCAGAATATGTCTGGTACAATAAGTAAGACCCCTAGGAACTGGACCTAGAAGATCTTGGTCTACATACCAGCTCTGCCATCCTGGAGTAACTTTATATAATTTATATAAACTATTCTTGACCCCATGAACAATGGTTTTCAAACAAAATGGAATAAAATGGGGAAACAGTAATAACATAATGTCAAACAGAAAAGATATGAGATAGCAAGTTGTATCATTAAAACTTCTTTCTTTTTTAATTTTTTTATTAATTATACCTTATTCACTTTGTATCCCCCTTGTAGCTCCCTCTCCCCTCCCCTCCCAATCCCTTCTTTCCTCCCCTTTCTCCATTCATGCCCCTCCCCAAGTCCACTGATAGGGGACATCTTCTTTTCCTTCCTTCTGATCCTAGTCTATCAAGTCTCATCAGGAGTGGCTGCATTGTCTTCCTCTGTGACCTGGTAAGGCTGCTCCCGCCTCAGGGGGAGGTGATCCAAGAGCAGCCCAATCAGTTCATGTCAGAGACAGTCCCTGTTCCCATTACGATGGAACCCACTTGGACACTGAACTTCCATGGACTACATCTGTGCAGGGGTTCTAGGTTATCTCCATGCATGGTCCTTAGTTGGAGTATGAGTCTCAGGAAAGACCGTGTGCTCAGATTTTTTGGTTCTGTTGCTCTCCTTGTGGACCTCCTGTCCTCTCCAGATCTTACTGTTTTCCACTTCTTTCATAAGATTCCCTGCACTCTGCCCAAAGGTTGGCCATAAGTCTCAGCATCTGCTTTGATATAAGACTTCTTTCTTTAAGATAGAGTCTCACCTATCCCAGGCTGGCCCTGAACTTGCTATGTAACCAAAGATGACCTTGAATGTGAACTTCTGATCCTCCTGCCTCAACTTCCCAAGTTCTGAGAGTGTTCACCACTATACCAGTCTATGCTGAGCTATAACCTTAGTCTTATTATAAACATTTAATACTTTTATTACAAAGGAATGGAAGATGCAGTATGAGGTTAATATACTCAAAACACATTATGTGTATGTAAGAAAATATCCTTACATAACCCAGTACCTTGTACAATGGATTTATACCTGTAGAAAAACGTGAATGAATAAATGAAATGGAAGAAGGTGAGTTGATAGTGCCTTGGTCTAGAAAGGAGGACTATAAGGTATATTTTAAAGGCAGAACGCTCTTGTTTATGTTTTCCTGATTTTAAATAAGGAGCAAGAATTGCTCTTAAAATTTATGTAGGTGATAAAAGAAATAACAATAATATAATTATCCCATTATTATTCCATAAACAATTTACTCATGAAATATTTCTTATAGGGTAGTAAAAATATTAATGATACAAAAAATGGACAATGGTCACTTTCAAGAAGAGAATAAGAGGGCATTGTTAGTCTTGAATTCTTTTATGATTTAAGAAGATGAGAATTAGTAAGCTTCAACAATAAATGTAGATGCTAAGTTGTGAACTAAATCTGTTAAGACATAATGAATTCTGAATACCCAACCATATTGTCAATAAAATTATATTATCTCCAGGGACACAGCGGCCAAGTAATCATGTTTGCATTGGATTTAGTTTGAAAACATCTATGTCTTGTTGGGGTGGAAATGATTGTTCACAATGCTCAATTCTAAATTAGAATGGCTTGATAGCTCATGACCTATATCTAGCCAAGGTGTGAAGCTTATTTTGAGGAAAATAAGAAAGAAAAATAGTAGAGAAAATAGAGTCATTTTTCTGAAATTCAAAATATTTTACCTTTACATCCCCAAACATTGCTGGTAGGTTGTGTGTTTTGGTTCCTAAATCCAAGTGATAGAGAATGTCTTCATCCATAGCATCCAGGTGAGGATTCTTAACATATACAGACCTTTTTCTGGGGATAAAAACACATACATGTTGTGAGAATTTTGGTTTCTCTAGAAACCCAGTTATGTTATGTGACATTTGTTGTTGTTGTTGTTTTAATATCAAGTGTGGGATATAGGGTTGCGTCAGACTGTCCACAGCTGCTAACTATGGTTTGCCTAATGCACCAGTAGGGGCATGATTTTTTGCCAGCTGCAGATAGTTTACATTTGGAATTCTGGGAACTCTTGGGAGGATATAAATGCTGGAACCTAGAGAGGGGGCAGGGAAGAGAAGAGAAGGAGAAGTAAAGGAGGAAGAGGAGGAGGAGGAGGAAGAGGATGGAGGAAGAGGAGAAGAAGAAGAGGCGAAAGAAGAAGAAGAAGAAGAAGAAGAAGAAGAAGAAGAAGAAGAAGAAGAAGACTGCTACTCCTCCCTGTGTGCTGCGCCTCCCTGCAGCTCCTGGATGCTGTTGTTGTGGTTTGATAAGAAGAAGTTGAAGATATCCTGACGACAGAGATTGGACTTGCTCCAAAAATCCTGGTGTCCCTAATCAGCAGAAAATAGCCTATGGAGGTCTACTCCCCTCTGCCCCTCTAACCTTCTGTCTCTCCTACGTGGTTGGGGTATTAGAAAGGATTGGGGTGGAGAAGGGTGGTAGACATAAGAACCCAAAGAAAATAACAAAAAATAAATATAGCACCAATACCTACACAAAGGAGATATCAAGCTATCTGGAGAGAAAGCACACCTGAGACAGGATAACAGACCACACCTATGACCACCACTAACACAGCTACTCCACACAAACCTCTCATAATTAAATCTGGTATAATGTGACCAATGTTTGTTTTACAATTTCTATGTACCACACTTAGAACTAAGCATGAAAACTATACCATACCAGGAAACTGATGAAATAAATACATTAGCTCATTTAATACCCTGATTGCTCCATTAGTAACATTAATAATCCAACTTACAAATGAAGACTTCAAGGCTCTTAGAAGTTGAGCACTCCCATGCAACCAGGAAATCTACAGGCACCTCTGCGCAGCTCACTCTGTCTCTAACTGCCACTCTCTTACTGTGAGGACCCGGCTCTCGGACCACCTTTGTTCCTGTTGCCTGATCAACTGGACATACACTTTCTGTGCAAGCATGAGCAAGCTAACTTTGACCTTCCATCCCCTCATCTGTGAAGCAGAGATGGTGAAAACCGCCACCTGGCAAGTTTATGAGCCTTAAATTTCCTAAGTGTAAGACATTAGGAATGTACAGTAACAAAGCATTTACCTTCCTGTCTGAGACTCAGCACCACACACACACACACACACACACACACAGAGTTTATAAAAGGCTTTATATACAATGATAGAATAAGTATCCCTTATCACTGTAGTTGGAATATCATGAGACTTTATTGAGGCCCACAGTGTGTTTGTGAACCTTCAATTCCTTTTCTTTTGGAGTACACTGCTAGGTTAAATCCCCAGTGACATAATGTCATCTGACTGAGTTTGGCCTAAGGGGATGTAGGAAGTGACTTGTCTATCTGTACTGCTTGACTCTGGGACACATAATCTCAGTGGCTGTACGGAACTGATACCCTCTTCACCCATCAGCCTGGTTTGCATTGATCAAGGAGCCACTGAGCTCAAACAGTATTTAGTGTCTGACCACTGAGAGGTTGCCAGTTGTGGTCGGTGAACTTGGAAATGATCCATGTTTCCATTAGAAGGTTCGGGTGAGAAGTAGACCTCAGAGGGCGGTGAGATGGAAGCAGAGAGATGAACAGGCTCCTGGGAATGTGAGTTGGGATGCATCAGAGACAAAGAACGAAGGACTAGGTACAAGCCAAGAGAAACAAGAGTTAGCTAACCAAGAAAAGAAATGCCTAAAATGAGACCCAAAGAATGGCTAAGGAGCTTAAAGAAAGTGGGGGTGATAGGAGAAGAGGTCTAGCCATAATAAGCACATAAGATAAAATATTCCAAACTACTGTCGTTAAAAAAATGAATCTTAGAAACAGAAGGTGAGATAAGATGAACCCTTCAGCAGGGCATGCTGATGCAAACATTTAATCGCAGCACTCAAGAGGCAGAGGCAGGATGTTATCTGTGAATTTGAGGGCAGCCTGATCTGTACTGCGAGTCCCGGGCCAGCCATACCTTCATACTGCAACCATGTCTCAAAAACTAAAACTAAAACTAAAAAACAAACAAAAAATCCCAATTACAATAACGAAACCCGAAACAAAACCAAACAAAAAGTGTTTTTTTTTTTTTTTTTGGTTTCCTTTTAAAGAATGCCTTTTATTTATTTATTTATTTGTTTGTTTATTTATTTATTTATTTATTTATTTATTTATTTATTTATTTTTATTTTTACTGGCATCAGAAGAAAGTGTGAGGGGATACAAAATGGATGGGTGGACAAAGATTGCCCCAGAGACGGAAAAATGGTGGGAAACCTAGAAGGTCTGCTTAGCGTCAGCTCATCGCTCCATTCCCCAGGATATTTCAGTGGCTCCTCACTTTCACCTGCATCCTGGAGCCAACATCCCACTTAAGGCCTGAACACAACACCCATGTTAACCATGCATGGCTGCCAAAGCCCTGCTCCTGCCCTGACTGCATCCTCCACCAGTAGCAACTGTATGATTGCATAGCAGTGTCTCACACGAGCCACTGAGGGGCTTCTCTGAGCACTGCATCTCCACCTCGCACTTCTTGGCTTCCTCCTCAACTTCGTCCATCTGCATCTGGGTGTATGTAGGTAAACAATTTAGGAATCCTGTGGTCTCTTTCATGTGCCAGCATTTCTTATGAGTAGCTATGAAGAACTGCCTGGATGGCTTTTCTTTCGGAAATGCAGGTTTAGTGCTCTCTCTCTCTCTCTCTCTCTCTCTGTATGTTTGTGACCCTGGTCTATAGAAACACCTTGAGTATCGGTACCTTTGAGAACCCCACCAGCCACGCTTCTTTTCTCCCTAGGGCCACTGGCCCTGCCCCATCACTGCAGTCCCAGCTAGGTGGCCCGTCCTTCCTTTTTCACTTGGCAAGTCTATGTAATAGAAGGCAGAGAGCTGCCTCTCAGGGGGGCCCTTCTTTCACTCTACTTTATACTTACAAAGCACACTCTTTACAGCCTACTCTGTTTATCATAATAGACTCCTTCATGCATCAGGGATAACAAATTATCTGTCCCAAACTACAGGGGTCAAGACACCGTACCAAGAGTCATCTGGAAACTCTTTGCTTCTCCCACTTCCTTCTAAATACTTTCAACCATCTCAACTAACCTCATATTATACATCCCTCCTGGCTCTCATCTGGCCTTAAAAAACCACCAAGGGGATTCAAAGGAAAAACACTGGCGACCAGGCCAAAATTAATTGGATGCTCAGGAAGTATTTTTTAAATTTTGACATCAAATGTGCCAGTTCCTGCTGCAAGCCTTTGCTCGTGAGCCACTCTTTCCGCTTCCCTTTCATTTTTTTTACTCATCAAAATCCTCTTCATTCCTTAAGACCAGCTAACACTGCATCTTCCAGGAGAGTCTTCTAAGCAGTCTTTATCCCTAATCAATATCTCTCCCCTCACTGTGCTCCTAAAGCATCTATGTTTGTGCTAATGCTGTTAAAATGGAGTTAATTTTCTGTCTCCTCAGAAAAACTGTAAATTCCTTGATGTAGGCTGTCAAATGCATCTTTCTTTAATCTCTAAGACTGAACAAATCCTATTTGTTAACCTAAGTTTAACTGTTCAGAAAGTGGAGCAAAATACTATTAGTGTTGTTTTTTCTTCCTCCTTAAAAACGTTAGAAGTAACAGGTTCCTAATTAGTTTGTGAGGCATACCTTCTTTTTTTGGTGGGGGGGAGAAAGAAAGAGTGGTCCATGATGCTGCTTATGGTCACTACTGCAGAACAAGCTTCTGCATCCCAAAGCAGGACAGGCATCCCACACCTCTTTGCTGCTGCTGGGAGGAACCCTCGTGCAGACAGCGCTGAGTGAAGCTTCACAGCAGCACAGCCCGGCTCAGGAAGCTGGCTGGAAAGGCAAACCACATTTCTGCCCCAGGACCACTGAATCAAAACCTGCATTCTAATAAAACCCCAGTGGTTCATATGCACACTAAAGTTCTGGAAACCCTGCCACTTACTTTCTCTTCCAGATTCCATCCTACTTTTTTATTTCCTTCTGCCAAAGCTGCTTTCATGATCTGGAGATTTTCCTTTGGATTCCCAACCAAATCTACAAACCATAACACTAAGAAACGCATTCATTCATCTCCAGTGACTCTCTAACTGCTTGTCCGAATCACTGGGGGAACTTTAAAGTATGCTGGAGTCTGAATTTGACAGAGATTCTTGTCCCAACGGTCCATGGAAAAGCACTTCTAAGGTGATCATTTTTTTCAGTGACCAAAGAAGGCCTTTTTTTTTTTTTTGCCATTTGAAAGCTTTTCTGTTTCCACAGAGATTTTAGGGTTGTACTATTTCTGCAAAGAATCTTGACTTGAATTACGTTGAATCTGCAGACCACTTTGGTTGGCATGAACATTTCACCAGTATCGAGTCTAGCTGTCAACAAATGTGAAATATCCTTTCACCCATTTATGTCTTCATGTTGTCTTGAATTTCTTTCATCAGTATTCTATGGTTTTCAATATGCAGATCTTTTCAGCATATAGTATTTTACTCTGTTTAATTAGCATTGTTTTATCAAATTCATTTTCAGGTAGCTTCTGGTTAGTAGACAGGAAAAAATGTTAATCTTTGTTTGCTGAGTTTATAACCTACAATTTCACTGAATATATCAGTTCTATTAGGTGTTTGGTGTGTGTGTGTGTGTGTGTGTGTGTGTGTGTGTGTGTGTGTGTTGTAAGAGAGAGAGAAATTAACTTAATGTCTTTAAAAATAACAAAGTTAGAGACATCACAGACCTTGAGTACAAATACAGGGATACTGTAGGGATAAGAAATATAAAATATGTGGTAGTGTGCACCTATAATATAGAACTAAGCTCTAGTTAAAAATTGGAATCATTAGATGGTCTCTAAAGAGTGTTGATGCTCCAGTCCCTTCTTGGAATTTCTGACTCAATTGGTCAAGCACACCTGTGCCTTAGAGTTTCTAAAACTACTGATGTCCAACTTTTCTATGGTCAAGAAGAAAATCTCAAACCATCACAGTCATTAATTACATTCTCTTGTATTAGATGTATTACAATAATCCCTTAGCACAAATAATAATTTTTGTTATAATAATTTTGGAGATGTCCTTTTTATTTCCTTGAAGTCTGATTGCTAATTAGGGAAGCTGAGACAAAAATAATCCTACATTCAAGGCCAGTTTAGGCTAAATAAAAGGTTTCAAGCCAGCCTGTACCAAACAGTGGAACGCTTTCTATCTAAAAGCAAGCAAGCAGACAACCCCATATGATCGTAGTGAAAACAAGGTGGCATTGACACCATGAAGGAAATAAGATAGAAAATCCAGAAATAGACCCGGTTATTAATGGGCAGTTGGTATTTGACAAAGCTGCCAAGAACACACAGTGAAGAAACGAAAGGCTTTCCAGTAAACGGTGTTGAGAAAACTTGATCTCCACCGCCAAAGAAGGAAATCGAACCTGATCTTGGACCAGGTCCAAATGTCAACTCAGAATAGACACATGTAAAACTCGAAGCTGTGTCACAGAAGACCACAGAGAAAAACTCCACCATATTTGTTTGGAAAGTGGTCACTCAGGTAGGACTCCCCCAAGAGAAGGCAAACAAATAAACCCATGGGATTATACCAAACTAAAACCTCCCACGTAGATAAACAAAACAGAGCAACAGATCCAAAAAGTCTGGGCACAGGGATCTTTTCTGAGACTGATACTCCAGTAAAGGACCATTCATGGAGACGGCCTGGAACCCCTGCACAGATGTAGCCCATGGCAGTTTAGTGTCCAAGTGGGTTCCATAGTAATGGGGAACTGGAACTGTCTCTGACAGGAACTGATTGGCCTGCTCTTTGATCACCTCCCCACTGAGGGGGGAGCAGCCTTACCAGGCCACAGAGGAAGACAATGCAGCCACTCCTGATGAGACCTGATAGGCTAAGATCAGAGGGAAGGGGAGGAGGACCTCCCCTATCAGTGGACTGGGAGAGGGACATATGGGGAAGAGGGAGGGTGGGATTGGGAGGGGAGGAGGGAGGGAGGTACAGGGGAGATACAAATCGAATAAACTGTAATTAATAAATTTAAAAATAAAAAATGTAAAAACAACAACAACAAAAATAAAACAAAACAACCAACAACAACCACAGAGCGAAGAGGCAACCCATGGGCTGGGAGAAAATTTGTATCTGACACTTGAATCTATTATCCAAGTTAAATAGCTCAATAGTAAGGAAGTAAAATATGGCTAAGCATAGCCAACAAATTTGGACAGATGTCCTCAAAGATCCAAACAGCTGACAAGTATATTTTAACATGTTCAATATCACTAATCATTAGGGAGATGAAAACTAAAACTACAATGAGATATCTCTCCACACTTGTTAGAATTATTATCAAAGACCGCAGATAACAGATATTGACAAGGTCTAGAGACAAGAGAAACCTTGTATATTATTGGCGAAAGTGTGAATTAGTGTGTCTAGTCTGAGAAAATATTATGGATAACATAAAAATTAAAATATAGCTATCGTATGGTATAGGCATTTCACTGTTTCTTATGTATCCAAAAGAATTGAGGTGAGTGTGTCCGAGAGGTACCGGCACTCCCATTTCAATTATAGTGCTACATATATATTTACTTACATATTTACAGATTATAAATATATGTTTATTAATATATTTAAAATGGAATTCTGTTTAGACTTTATTACTTATTATTTAGACTTATTTATTATTTAGTTTTCTTGTGGGTGTTAACGTGAATGTGCACACAACAGCACAAGTGCAGAAGTTAGAGGACAGCCTGTGGGGGTCTCTTTCCATGATAGGGGTCGTGGGGATTGGTGTCAAGTATTTATCCACTGAGCCATCTCACTGACCTCTCAGCTTTTGTTGTTTTTCATTTGTTTGTTTGTTTGTTTCATTCACTTTACATCCTTATTATAGTCCCATCCCTCCTCCCCTCCCAGTCCCTCCCTGTCCCTCCCTTCTCCTCCCCCTCCCCTTTTTCTCAGAAAAGGAGAGCTCCCTTTCCCATCCACCCCAGCTCATCACATTGCATCAGGACTGAGCGTGTCCTCTTCCCCTGTGGCCTGGCAATCCTGCCAGGGGGAAGCGATCAAAAAGCTGGCAAGTGACAGACACCAAACCCGGCAGAGACAGCGAGCTCAGCTCGGCGGAGGTGAGTTGGGTATGGGACCCAAGCCCCACTGTCCCCATCCTGAGGAGGTCTGTGTGGCACCAGACCAGCTCTCAGCTTTTATAATGAAGAACACTCTGTCGTTTGTGACATGAGCAGAACTAGCAATGTGCTAAGGACAACGCCAGCCCAGGGAGACAAACACTGTGTCTGCCACTTCTCTTTTACCAACATTTCTAAAAAATGTTGATCTAACTAAAACAGAGAGAAGAGTGGTAGGTATCAAAGGCTGGGGACTTAGGAAGGTATGGGAAAGAGCTGTGAATGGGAACAGCTCCATTGAAGGAATAAGTTTAATGATCTACACTGCCTTGCCTGCTTACCACAGACAGTACATACATACTTTAAAATCACTTTAAAATAGATGTTGGACATTCTTACCACCAAACAGTGAGAAATTGATGAAGTGATGGATATCCTAGCTAGATCAATAGAATTGTCTACAACACATGCATGGTTCGAAACGTCTCGCTGGGCTGGGGATATAGACCAGTGATAGAGTCCTTATCCAGCATTCACGAGGCCTTGGGTTCAATCCCCAACACCACAAACCAACCAACCAAACCCACAGACAAAAGCCCACCAACACACTGTGCCCCATATAAACAAGTCATCTACCACTTTCAGCTAAAACCAAATACATGGATGTCTGAAAAAAAAAAAAAACTTTGAGGAAAGGCTTGCCAGAGACTTCATGCCAAATTCAAGCCTATTTTTATTCTTTTTCTTAACTCTTTCTCTAAAGACTGATGACCAAAAAAAAAGAGTTAGCTGGGAGGTTTCCATTTCCCTTTGCCTTCATTTGCATATTTCTCCCTCTCTCCTTGGCTTCCCCGGGTGAGTGGAGGGGTCTGTTTGAGCCTGGGAGTGGAGCCCTGTCTGTATGCTGGCATCACAGCAAGACACTTCCCACAATTCTCAGCAAATCAGAGGGAATTTACAAAAATTCTTCAAGCCTCATGAAGACTAATGTTCTATTATGTTCTGTTAACCCGAGGCAGAAATTAGAATTTAATTTGCAGGCAGCTTGGGCAGATTCGTGTCTACCTTGGAGATGAATAACATCCGTGGTATTTCAGAAGTCGATTCTATGTCAAGTCTGTCCATCACAAAGCATATGAAATTACCCCATGACACACTCAACGCAGTTGAAGTGCCATAGGCACCGTGGGGCCCTTTCATTATTTCTCAGGTACAGCCTGTGGTCCTGGAATTAAACACTGAACTCCACAGTGAAATCCAGGCTGTACTTTGAATTTGTCTGCTCCTGTGGGCTGCTTAAAATTCTCATTGCTTTTTTTTTTTTAAGTTCTTTTGACCTACTTTCTTCTTCTTTTCTTTATTATTTTATTTCTCATTATGTTTTCTTATGAAATTGTGTGGAGGTGGACTTGCCAGGATGACGTTTGGAGGTCAGAGGATAACCTTGTGGAGCCGGCTCTCTTCTTCCACCTTTCATTGGGTTCTGCAGAGTAAACTCAGGCAATCTGGCTTGCTCAGCAAGAACCTTTCTTTACCCACTGAACTATCTCACCAGACTCTCTGCTCCATGTTCATACATGAACCAACTTGCCAACTCCACGAGAACCAAAGAATGAAAAATTTCAGTGCTGCTATGTGGATTTGTATTATGAATAGTATTCCTATTATTTAGTGTCCAATGTGAAAAGATGTATAAAACCCTGGGGGAACATCCTCTGAGCACTTAAAATAAAATCCAAGAGATTTTCATCTGACCCAAAGAAATAAAGTTCAAAATTACTCACCTCTCATATGCATTCTTGTCACGTCCCATGGATCTATTAGAAGCAGGTAAAATGGAAGCCATACTTTGCACTGTGCTGATATCAGGGAAAAAGCAAAATTAGGTCCTGCTGTTAAATTACAGATCTAATCCTAATGATACAGCTTCAAGTCAAGATTGCACCATCCCTTCAAACTTAGGGTTTTGTTTTTTGTTTTCTTTTTTAATTTTCTTCTAAAATCTTCCCTGAGTATTTTGAACTCCTGTGACAATTTCAAAATACCATCCCTGGAAGGCCTTTTATACTACAGCCTGGCTCTCAGAGCATCATTCCCCAAGAAGATAGGCTCTCTTGGAAGGTGTGGCATCCTTTCTCTTTGACCAGGTTGGTTATCTTGTTAACTTTGACCACAGCACCTTTCAATGGCGTCTGACCAAGGTGTGACACACAGCTGTGTTTGCTTTGAGACAAACCCTGTATGAATGCAGTCTGCTTTCGGATTTCATGCCAACCTTATCAAAAATGTGTCCAGTACTCCTGAGAACTTTCAGTCCTCAAATATTTCATTTTCCCATCCTTCCCCACTACTTGCCAATTTGTTTTTGTTCTTTGTGATTATTAGTCAGGAAAACATCCAAAGTCAGGACCTCAGAAAACCGCTTTGTCTGAACTTTGCCCATCTGAGTTCATACAGAAGGTCTGATGATTAAACAAAGCTAATTACCTAAGGCCTCTTCATTTTCCTAAATACTAGGTTGACTCTAACAAACACTAATCCATGTCTCTGGGTGTCAGTGCAGGTAGAATAGAGAATTATAGCTTAATACTTTCAGAAAAAAAAATATATTTTTTAAGAAATCTATTAATTGGTTTTGTGATTGTGCAGGCCTGTAATCCCAGTACTTAGGAATCAGGACAGGAGAATTGCTGCAAGCTTCAGAGCAGCCTGGTCTACAGAGTTCCACAACATATATGGGAGTAAAGCAATTCCTGACTCAGAAAGAAAGAAGAAGGAAGGAAAAAAGGAAGGTAGGAAAGAAGAAAGGGTGGGAGATTCAAAGGAGGGTAAGGAGGGAGGGTGGGATGGAAGAAAGAAATGGGGGAGAGAAATTATGAATTCACTGTTTGCTCCTGTATTTCATTCTGGAGTGAGGAAATCTGCTTCATCATGACCCTTTCTCTCAAGGTTCCTATGGGAATCAGCTGACATTCTATGGAGCAGAACTCCAAAAGCACCAGTATTGTTGGGATCAGTAAGCAGGCACTTCTATGGCCAGCTCCAAGGGACCTGATAGACTGGTTATCAGGCATTTGTGAAGACACCCTAACCACCTGGAATTACCTGCGCATGCCCTTGATCAACCTATAAGAGAAATGGAACCCTCCCCTTCTTCTCTCTCTTCTTCCTCTTCCACTCCCTGCTTCTCTCTCTTTCTCTCTGTCTCTGTCTCTCTCTCTTCTTCCTCTTCCGCTCCCTGCTTCTCTCTCTCTTTCTCTCTCTCTATCTCTTCTTCCACTTTCTGCTTCTCTCTCTCTTCTTCCTCTTCCACTCCCTGCTTCTCTCTCTCTTCTTCTGCTCCCTGCTTCTCTCTCTCTTTCTCTCTCTCTCTCTCTTCTTCTGCTCCCTGCTTCTCTCTCTCTCTCTCTTCTTCCTCTTCCGCTCCTTGATTCTCTCTCTCTCTTCCTCTCTTCTCCTCTCTCTCCTCCTTTCTCTGTCTCTGCTCCCCTTTCCCCTAATAAACCTCCCACATGGAACCAATCTCGTGGTGTGATTTGTGAACCCGAATGTAACCTTCACATTCGCACGATTCCTAACAAGTATCATGGATTTTAAGCAAATCAGAACTTAAAATGTTCGCAAGTGCCAAACAGAAGCAGATATGTGGAATTTCCTGATGTGTGTGGATTTCTGTGTAATGTGCATCACAGTCAAGGAGCAAATACCCTGGATCTTAACCTAAGGTATAAGTCATCCATCCCACTTCCTGCTGAAAACCATTCTTTGAAAACGTCTCAAATTCCCCCCCCACACACACACACCTCCTTCGGCTTCATTTCGTTCACAGTAGCCTGCCAGCAAAGTTTTCAGAATGGAAAGGCAAGTTCATATTGGGGAATAACCAGTGTAGCCTAACCCATGTCCACTGCCAACCAGGCATTTGTAATTTCCCCCAAGAAAGGAAATCATCTAAGGAAGTCATCTTAGAAAAGGTAACGATAGCTATAAGACAAAATAACCCTGGGCATGGGTGTTCCCTTCAAACTAGGGACCTTTGCTCCTGCCTGTGGCTTATAATTATATGTACAGCTCAGGCCTCTTGACACTGCAAGCTGGCCTGCCCGCTGCTCTTTCCCAACGCTCACTGACAACACTGAGACTCTGACGCCCACCGACTGTCACTGGCCCTTTATTTGGTTTTACGTATGTCACATCTCTCCATTTATCTTTAGGGGATAAAGAGGAAGCCCACCACAGCGCATCTGGCATTTACCGCTGCTCCTGGCAGGTTGTGTCAGCTAATTAGGTATTACATAATTAATTACTTGTGTGAGCAAATTAGGCTAATTAACATGTCTGTCTCCAGTGCAGATTCTGTCCACCAATGATCCTGGTCACTAAAGTCAGACAGAACAAGCTAAAGTGTATGTACTCCGTATAACTTTCTCCTGCCCTTGGGCCGTAAAAGCAGTAGTCATCACTTAAGAACGTTTAGAAGACTTGGAGGGTCTATGAAAGGACAGTATCAGGTGATGTCTTTTGGGAAATCTGAAATCTGATTTCTGTCTTGTAAAGACTAATTCATACTCTTACAGTGAGCTGTTACCTTAAGGCCTAACAGGAATGGGGAAAAGTTTTGTTTGGGGAAAACATACAAAAGGTCAACTGAGCCCAGCCCCTGGGTGTTTTGCAAACATAGGCCAAATTCCAGCAAAGCCTTGTGACTCCCTGCAGCAGGGATCAGGAAGGTCCTGTATTAGCTCTACCAGCATCTAACTCAGCGGTGCCTGAGCTTCAGTGAAGCCCTTCCAGCGCTTCCAACTTCTTCCAGCTTTCTTCCACAGTGCCAGTCTCCATTCTAGACGATTTTCTCCTAGACTTAGTTCTGCCTCTGAACCCCTGATGTTCAGGTCCCTCTCTGGAGGTTGCAATTGCTACTGAGCCCAGAAGACTTAGCATGTGGAGTTAAAACCCTGCCTCCCAGCTCCCTAAGCAGCATTCTGTTGCACTGAAGAGCCAACATTAGTTGCATTACTGTGACGTGTCTTTTATTTCTAAGTATTTTCAACAGAACAGCTCTAGTGGCCCCTTTTCTTCCTTTCTTTCAGAGTTCTGGTGTTTTAAAAATCAAATGCCAAAACAAAGTTTCAGTGACTATATTACACTTTCAATATTCACACCTAATAAAGGCCACCTTAACTCTTTAGTAATAGGTTTTAGCTGTGCTGAGTCATAGTCGTCAGGATGATTCACCTTGAGGTGCAGGTAGATGATGGCCTTCAGCACGTTATCTCTGTTCTAGAAACAGCATCCTGGCAGGCATGCAGTAGCCTGTATGCTTGTCCCTCATAATGGCAATGTGCAGCCAAGTCCTGTTCTCCTTCTTCAGGAGGGATGGTTAAAAGCAGGGATGGCACTACAATGAACTTCCCCTACTGGCCTGTGACTACCTTAAAGGAGCTCTAAAAGCTTTGTAGTCTATCTACTCCGACTCTGCACAGTTGATTTGTATTCTTCTCTTCATTCAGCAGTATTAACACACTGTGCCCAAGAAGTCTAGGAAATGCTATAGGTAAAGGCACGAGTAAGATAGTTATTTCTCTTGTTTCTTTGGGAGGAAAAAAGTTGGTATCTGTGAACAGAGAAGACACAGGTTTCCACCCTTCTTGAGTTGGTCTTCCTTATTTCAAAACTCATGTGGTGATGGTACCTGAAGTAGCTCCCGCTTCAAGCCCTGAGCTTTCCTGATCTTTTGATCTTCCTTTCCTAACCCATCCACAGTTCTCTCCTTTATATGGCAGATGCCTTGCAGTGGAATGCTATGACATCATGTTGCTTTTAAAAACTCCATAAAGCTTATTAGTAGCATTACAGGGCTTTCACGCCCAAGTATTTGCAACAGAATGTCACTGGTGGCCTTTGTTTTTAAAGAAGCACATTTTAAAAAATTGAATGCCAATTTTATAACACATTTGCAATAGACACACTTAACGAATAGGTCCCTGAACTCCTTTAATAATGCACTTTTCCTGTGCTTTGTCCCAAGGACACCTTAGTTTCTATTGCCCACTTAGGCTTTTTCACTATTTCTCACCCTCCTGGGAGTCAGAGCAGGAAGCAGTGGCTGTAAACATCCTACTTACTTTAAGAGAAATGCTCAATCTATCTGCTTCCCTCTGTCCACTGCTCCTCTTTGAAGTGCCACTGAGTGGTGCTGGTATTATGTTGTTTCCTTGACTTCTTGGCAATAAGGAAGAGGGCCGGCTCTTTTACCATTCTTTGGTTCTTTTGTTTGGTGAAACATTGTCTGTGGCTTTTGTGAGGAGTTGGGGGCTATGTGGATGTAATCTATGCATTCTGAGATACAGGCTCTCTAGCCTTGGTGCAGTGGTACTCAGCCTTCCTAATGCTGTGGCCCTTTCTTACAGTTCCTCAAGTCGTGGTGACCCCAACCATAAATTTATTTTCGTAGCTACTTCATAACTGTAATTTTGCCACTGTTATGAACTGTAACATGGAGGATATCTGAAAAGGGACCCCTGTGAAAGACAGGGGTCACACCCCGGAGTTTGTGAACCACTCCTTTAGCGGACAGCGCCGCTTTTCCTAAATAGCTCAACATGGCCTGAGCTCCGTAGAGAGATTTTCCTTGCCTTGAAGCCTCTCCAGAGCCAGGTGGAAGAAATCAGGCCCCTCCTCCTGGCTCCCCAGGGTGAGGTCTACCTCCTTGGATGTTCCTTTCCCTTGAAGTGCATGCCCTAAAGTGAAACTAACTCTTGTGCTTTTCCTGTTTGTTCTCTCTCAAGCTAGAAGGTGAAGTCCCCCTTGACCTCTTTTTGTTGTTGTTGTTGTTTTCCCCTGCCTCGGTGAGTTTCCACTATCACCTTCTGAATTCTTCCTAGCTTCTAGTTAGTAATCTTCAGTTTCAAGTCCACCAGACATAGGTTTGATGTGTTAATAGAAGCACAGCAATATTTAAAATCCTTGTTTTTGTTTTTGTTTCATACTACCCCATTAGAGGTTCACAAGTGCTGCTCAAAGAATCCCAGCTCTCTCCTGTAACTCCCATCGATGGAAATATGGACATGAAGGAGGGCGTTGCTATGATTCAAACTGGATACGCCCTCAAGAGGTTCACGTTTTAAATATGCAATTTTGGGAGGAGCTGATAACGGAGGTGTGCTTCACTGGTGAAAGTAAACCTTGACTCAAACTCTGACTTCTGCCTTGATCTCTGGATTGTTGGGACATCAACAAGCCTCTCCTACTAATTACGGACACTACTGGCTGTGCTTCTCTCCAGTGCTTTTCAGGGACACAGACTCAGTCTCTCTGAAACTGAAAGCCCAAATAAGTCACTCGTCCTCCACACTGCTTCTGCAGTATTGTAGTTACACTCACACAAAGCCATTAATACAGCCGTGCACACAGAAAAAGAAAATAATCTTAGTTGTGTCTCAAGTTTATCATATCACACACCTTGTAAACGAAAGCATCACGTGACGGTTCTTCAAGGCGCTCCATCCTCTCCAGCTCTGTGACAACACAGTGTTGTCTGTATTTGACCTCTGAGCAGGGCCTTGCGGGAGGGGTGGTAGACGAAGCCTTTACCATGAGCAGCTTCCTCTGAGGGTGGTTTCGTGGAGGTTGAGGCAAGCTGAGGCCATGGGGAAGATTCCAGCAACCTCAGGCCTCACAAAAGACTTCAGCCTCCTGTTCTCAGGTCAATGGTAGAAGACTCACTGTGGTTATGTGGGTAGAGTCTTCATAATTCTGTATGAGATTAATAAATATAAAACAATGATAGATTTTTTCCCCCAACACCCACAGAACCACTGTAAAGTTATAAAGGATAGATTTTCTTTAGAAAGTAACTCTTGTTGATTTATAAAAATGTATTTTTTTAAAAAAATTATATTTTAAAAATATATATTATTTTATATATTATAACATGTATATATTAAATAGTATGTTTATATTATATAACTATATTTAGATACATATTTTATAAATACAGACTCATACAATTGATCTTTCTGGGGACAGTGGTTTTAATTAGTAAATGAACGAGCAAGTTTCAGAGACTGGAGAGATGGCTCAGTGATTGAGATCACTGGCTGCTCTTGCAGACCCAAGTTCACTTGCCAACATCCACGAGATGGCTCACACCGTCTGTTAAGTCCAGTTGAAGGAGGTCCAAGGCCCTGACTGGCTTCTGTAGGCACAAGGCAAACATGGTACACACATATATATACTCGGGCAAACACTTAGACATAAAATAAACAAATCTAAAATGCTTTTTTTTTTTTTTTAAATAACAAGAATAACAAGTTTCAAGTCACGTGAGCACTGAATTTACAAGAAGGAGTTGATTATTGTTAACCATTCCAGAAAAGTTGTTTCCAGAATCTCAGAGACCCCACAGGGAAGTACCACACCTGTCACCCAGTAGAAACTCCTAGCATATCCTTAGTGTCCATTATGATTTAAAAATAAGGCACCATCTACGAAGTCATGTTTTAACGCTTGGTCCCCAGCTA